ATATATATATATATATATATATATACACACTCTTGCAATATTCTAAACGATATTTCTAAATGCTCTAAAAGATTACAGAATGTCATGATTCCAGCTCCATGCCTCCGCTGCTCTTTGCCACCTGCAAGCGCTCTTGGCCACGCCCACTTCTCCGCTCTGCACTAGATCAGCTGATCAGCTGCAGGAGGAAGTTTATCCTGCAGTGTGCTGCACAAAGGTGCAGCAGGTGCTAAATAATTTAAAATAGTTTGTTTTAAATAAAAATTCCATGCCAATCGTGCGGCTCGTTCATCAATCAGCCAACTGTGTGTCATGTCCAATCTTATTTTGAAAAATCGCGATGGAGCGCGATAAACTAACCGCAAAGCAGCGAGGGACTAATGTAGGCTTATTGAAATAAAATTACAAAATGGCAGCGCCTGTCCGAATTATCATTATTATTTTTCGATAACTTTTTATCCCGTACTGTCCCAATCACGTGAGTAATATTAAAAGTTGACAATCGTTGAAAAACGGTGAAAGAGCGAGTCTGCGAAAGTCGAACCGCGAAGTAGCGAAGGACTACTGTGTTCAGATTTGATCATCTTTGTAAATGAGCTAAAACACTTGATGTGAAGGCTCCAGATGTTTCTGGTGTGCTCAGTGTGTTTCCTTCTGGCGTTCAGATTCACTTTATTTATTCTTCACTTCCACTTCACATCAGCTCGAACCTTCAGGATTTCCAGCCTGAAGGATCTGTCGGACGTTTGACTTGCGGGCTAATTTACCAAACGTTCGGCAGGCTGCGTACCTGGATGGGTAGGCTGAACAAACAGGACGCTGCACACTTTGGTGTGATTTATCGTCTGCAGCGTGAAAAAAGAAAAGCCACTCGTGACACCTGGGTGAGCTACGCGTCGACCAAACCCCCCCGCTGCTCGCAGTCGTGTCCAGGGTGTGGCCCGGCTGAGCACAGGTCCCGTCACCGAGGGGGTTTCCTCTCGCTCGCTGATAGCCGCTCGATGATACATCCGCTCAGTCACCCTCACACACCCGTGGAGGTAAACACAAACGTGACAGCAGCAAACAAACACACTCAAAGCCATGACAACTGCTGTTCACACAGTTTTTACTTTACAGTTCTCTGTAATCTCCTCACCGCCTGAGGACGAGTGAGCCAACCTGTACATCACTGACATTCTGATCATTCCACCTTTTTAACTCTTTCCAAGTGACCTCTTCCCTTCTTGCAAACAATCGGTTTAATCTGCGCTTACGTCGGCTGCGTAGGCTGCAGCGCTCGCTGAATGCCGGCCCTCTGTAACCGCCGCCAGGACGGGTGACTGGAATATTTGTGTGGTTAGTCAGAGGGCGACCTCACGCCGACATGCGGGTGAATCATCTCCTCTCATTACTTTTACTTCATCCATGCAGAGATGATGAAAGGATATACCTCAATAGTTTTTTTTAATTTTTTTATGGCAGGAAACGTTTTCATTTTTTAAATTGTTTCAGTTTGTCACGAAAGAAAAGCTCGACTTGTGCAACTTATAAATCCGTCTCTGAATTTTTATCCTTCGTCAAACTTTCAAGTAACACTTGTAGAAGACAAAGTTGCTTTCTGTTTATTTTTTTATTATTCTCTGCTGGGATGATTAAACTTTTAGCATTTTAGGTTGGGGGGGGGGGGGGTAAAAGTGTGACCTGGTCAGTACAAGAGCTGTGTGGATAAACGGTTAACAGGTGAACGCTGATCGTTTTACGACGTTCTGAGCACAAACGGTCTCGTGCTTTTCTTTAGTTTTCAGCGCTCGCAGAAGCCGTTTCGAAGAATCGTTTTGCGACACAAAAACCTCTTTTGTAATGGCAAAAAGCTCCGAGTTTAAATCCTGCAGGTTATGGCACGCAGGATATTTACAGCTGTGATCGCTTAGTAACTGAAAACGATTGAGTCTAATGTATCAGTCGTTACCCTCCCAAAGAAAAACAAGTTCCCCCCCGGGTGACACCTGGTGAATAACACACGATTTATTCACGTCATGGCAAGGCCTCCTGTAATGATTGTGTTTACTAATGGATAAAACATGAGCTGCTATAAATTTAGGAAAGAGGAGCTACCACTGAGTCATGCTAGAAGATACCCTCTTTCAACTTTTAAGGGTTTTATGTTTCAGGAAAATAATCCGGTCCTTAAATATTACATCACGTGTGTATTTATTTTTTAAAAGGCCACAACGGCGCTTCGAGCTGCAGCGAGTTGAAGAAATCCTCTTCTGCTTCTTTTTGTGAAGGAGTTTTCACGCATTGTTCTTTATGTTGCTTTAATTATTTTTCTTTCCAGACAGATGCTCAGGTTCTGGTGCTGCCAAACCAGCCCAAATCATCAGCCTGCCACCACCGTGCTCAACAGCTTAGAGTTTACGTAGCAGTTGTGTTCCTGAGTAATAAACAGAAATCTCCACTTTGGTTTATAATCACTTCAGTGGTTCAGTCTTTTTCTAACTGTCCTGACCTTTGACCTTTAGTCTGCCTACTGAGGCCTGTAGTGTCTTCGAGTTAGAGCATTTCTCTGAGCACTGCACAGTCTGACCTTACGGGTGAATTTGCTGGGACCGGCAGCTGCCTTCAATGTTTTCCTCTTGTGAATCTTCTCTGTAAAATGGATAGTTTGGAAATGACCTTTGACCCTTCCCAGACCCAAAACCATTTCTTCCCTAAGCTCATTGCTGATGTCATTCCGTCTTTGCATTGTGTTAGCGCACACCTGTATGCCCTGGAGCAGCAAACTAACACTTCTTGCTTTAACAAAGACGATCACACTGATGATAATTAATGTATCCAATTAGTTAATAGCTGCTGCGAACAATTTTTTACACTTCTTACAAAATAAAGTTTTTTTTTCATACAGCTCATCAGTATTTTATTTAGTTTTAGTTCAAACAAAGACCATGTTACATGTTGTTTAGCTAAGGATTTATTTACATATTTAGAATCTGTAAAAAAATCCAGGAAGTTGCTCTTATTGTCCAGATCCATGAAACTGTTGAATATAAAAATATATACGTGCTTTTAATCTAAAACACAACTGATGGGATGGTAGTCATGCACTTAAAGCCTGAAGGGAACATTTTTCGTTTTATTTTATATATATTTCTGACATATTTCATCAATAGTTCCCCCCGACTGTCTGACTTGCATGTATAGCTGTGTTTCTGTTCAAGCCTCAGCTCTGCAAACTCATTCTGCCGTTACAGGGAAATCTCGCAGTACAGTACTTGGTCCTGTTTTTCCACAAGTTCTGCCAAGATTCTAAAACCATACCTCAACAGTTAAAGCTCCACGGTCGTAAAGCAGCAAACCACCAGTAAAACTGCTCCTTTTACGTTCTCATTGGGGCTCTTAGTTTGACCGTAAAAACTACAGTTTGCATTGTTTAAAATAACCTCATCTCTCCTGTGTCTTCTACTCTGAACCTCCAGCTGATACGTCTTGGGAGTGATGCACTGGCTTCCCCTGGTTGCCATGGTGATTGCCTCGGCCCTGCCCTTCCCTCACAACCCCGTGACCACGCAGCCCGGCTCCGGCAGCCGTCGTGACCCGGCCGCTCGCCTCCCAGCTCCTCCCGTGGACTACAGCCTCCGAGGAAATGCCTCACGACCGGACAACGGCGCGGCTGACGCTCTTAGCCCGCACACCATCAGCTCACAGAACCTCCAGAACCGCAAGGGTTCTTTAAAACCCTCCATTCACGAAGAGACTTCCACAGCCATAGTGGAGAATCAGATAACCTTCCAAACGTTGAGCACCTCAGGCACAGACGACCCAAACCGAGTCAGTTTGGATGTTTCACCTCTCAGGAACGAAGAGACTTCTGAGGACAACTCGCTACCAGAGGACTACAAAGGGGACGGCGCCAGCAGCAGGACAGCTTCCTCTGGTGTTTTGGACTTTTCCAAGGATCTCACTCAGCAGGACTCCACAAATTCACCGTTGCAGGTTTCCACTGTGGAGAACTACGATGTGGTCAGTCCTGCTACAATGCTGAAGGGTCAGAGAGGACTGGAGCCGACGGCTCCTTCAGGGCCGGTTCTAAACGGGCTGAAAAGCAGGACAGGAGCTAGAACGAGTCCAAGTCTGACCCTGGAGGCCGGACTGGGTCTCGGGGCCGAGCTCGACAGTCTTCTGGAAGCGGACGATGTGTTGTTGAACACGCACCCACGAGTCCTGTTCTCCTCCTCCCTGTTGCCTCCTGAACACCCACCCCTGCAGCTGATGCTGGAGAGCGGCCTGTTGGAGGAGGACGGGGACGAGCAGGAGGACCTGGACAGGCACATTGAGGGTCACGGCGACCGCGCCATCGACAGGAGCACAACTTCAAGTTGGTCGAACTACTCCAAAGTTCCCAGTAAGGAGGCCGTCCGTCCTGTTAGAAGGGACAAACGGTCACACCTGATTGACAAAAGGAGGGGGGAAAAGGCCGTGTGCGAGTCGGAAAGTGTTTGGGTCACCGACAAGAAGACCGCCACAGACTCTCACGGACAGACGGTCTCCATCCTGCCGGAAATCCAGACGCAGACAGGACCCATCAAGCAGTACTTCTACGAGACTCGCTGCCGGCAGGCGGAGCAGCAGAGCAGCTCCGGCAGGACGAAGGGGGCCGCGGGGCGAGCGACGGGGACTGGGGTAGCCGGAGCCGGGTGTTTCGGCGTGGACAACAAACAGTGGCACAGCGAGTGCAAAGCCAAGCAGTCGTACGTCCGAGCGCTCACCAAAGACGCCAACAACCGGACCGGCTGGAGGTGGATTCGGATAGACTCGTCCTGCGTTTGCGTGCTGCTGTCCAGAACCAGTCAGGGGAGAGACGTCTCGCCAAGACGGGGGAGAGGCTGACACGAGGAGGGGGGGGGGGGGGGCATGCAGAGAAAGTGACACAGACCAGAGCAGCCGAGACGTCCCTCTGTGTGCACTTCTACCTAATAATGGATGTTTTCCTCATCTCTCCGTTTCTCTCTCCTTCAACGGGACTTTTACAAAAAAAAAAAACACAAGACGACCTCAAAACTAGATCTTAGGGAAAAATGTTCTAGAGATTTTACGTAAAGAAGTACTGTTTTTGTATGGTTTCTCATAATGTAAGTTATTTTTTGATTAGTATGTAAGCATGTCTTTGATATTAATATATTCCTTACATGTGTGTGTATAATATGACACCAGTATACCTTGATGTATTTCAGTGTGTATTTATAGAAGACGTCTTCGTGCAGTCGCAGGTCTCTCGGGTGTCCAATGGGAAGTCCAGCCTTTGCTTTCGCTCGTTGGTTGCAGAAGGAAACGGCCCCACCTACTGAGAGTTTATTTTACTGCTCTAAAGTCTCACAGTATGAATGAATGTTTCTAAACTACACCAAACAAAACAATACAGCCCGGGCACGTTTCCACACAATAATCCTTGCGGCTAAATGTGGTTTGTAAATTATGTGATGCCTGAAGATCTGCCGTTTCTGTTCACTTGGACCGCCGAGTATAATAAAAGACCTTTGTATTCATGTTTTTGCACAGCTTCATGTATAAACAAGCAGAAAATTTGTATTGTGCTGCTCTTTACAGACAAAACTTTGACATATTACAGGAAGTGGGAGTAAAATCGTGATTTGAAAGCGGTTGTAGTTTCAGCTTGTTGTAAAAGTATTCATCCTTCTTGGCGATCTCTCTGTTTCGCTTTACAACTCGAAACTAATTTAATTCTTCAAATATTACTTGACTGAAACGAAGTGTGGGGGAGACATTGTAAATGAAAACGAAATGATTTAAAACTGATCAGTACATTTTGATCATTCCTGTGAAAGATGTAAAGACTTGCATGTTGTACAAAATAATTAATTTATTTTCCACATAGACCCGTATCAAAAGCTCAAATCATTCAGAAACATGCTTCTATTTGAGCTTTTAGCTACTATTTTGCTTGTTTTGAGTTGCTATTTTTATCCACTTTTTAATTTTAAAACCCGTTTAGCCCTTTTTAATTAAAGTTCTTTTCCTTTTAGCTTTTAACTACTGTTCTGCTGCTTCTAGCTTGTACTAGTTTTGGTGTATAGTCACTGTTTAGCAGTTTTTCTTTTAGCTACTAATGTGCCAATTTCAGATCAAGCTGCTGTTTTGCTAATTTTAATGATTTGCTCATTTTAACTTTAGCATTGTTTTTGCTAAGTTTCTGTGTGAATATTTTAGCTGCTTTGCAAAATTTAGCTTTAGTCTGTGGTTTGCTAATTTGACCTACTGCTTCATGTTGTTGAATATAACATTTGTTTTGCTCATTTTAGTGAGGGTTGTGCTCCCTTTTAGCTTCTAGCTACTGTTCGGCTGTTTCTAGATTTAGTTATTTTAAACATTTAGCTACAGTTTAGCCAATTTAGCATTGAGCTACTTTCACTTTTAGTATCTGTTTTGCTAAATTTAGCTTCTGGTTTGTACATTTTTGTTACAGCACTATTCTCCCAATTTTAGCTTGTGTTCTGACAATTTTAGCCTCCGTTTTACTTGCCTTTAAAAACTCAGTTTAAATTTAAGAGTTTTGTGAGGATTATTGCTTGGAATCGAATAAAAAAAATCCAACTGGAGATTAATTAATTTTCTGCAAAGATGCAGAAACTGAATGAAGTTGCTGAAATTTGCTAAAACTGAATTATTAAAGTTGACTATCAAAACAGCAGCTGAAGCCAGAAAACTAGCGAAAAGCTAAGCATGAAGCAAGTACGCTCAACTTTAAAACCTCAAAAGCACATTGAAGTATTTTAAAATATTTCTATATGGAAAAACTAATTAAAAGTTAAATAATTAAAAAAGTTGTGAACAAAAGTTCCACCAGCTGTCCATAATCCGCTCATCAGTAAAATGTCAAATTAAAATCCACCGTGGTTTCCCTCGCACAACAGCCCTGAACATGTGTTGAGTATAAACATGATGGTGGTGGGGTCAAAGGTCAGTTTGAGAATAATCACATCATCCATGGTGTAAAAAGACAAATCTCAATGTTGAGGTTCTCTGTGGGAGTGACAAGGATGGATGAGATCATCAGAGGAACAGCACAGGTTGAACAACTGGGAGATAAAGTTAGAGAGACCAGACTGAGATGGTTTGGACATGTCCAGAAGAGGGACAGTGGTTTGGACATGTCCAGAGGAGGGACAGTGGTTTGGACATGTCCAGAGGAGGGACAGTGGTTTGGACATGTCCAGAGGAGGGACAGTGGTTTGGACATGTCCAGAGGAGGGACAGTGTGTAGAAATGCAGCTGCCTTGAAAAAGACAGAGGAGATATATGGATTCAGTTAGAGAGGACATGGAGGTAGTTGGAGTGAGGACAAAGATGGAGGACTCTCTGTGGTGACCCCTGAAGAGGGGAATGCTGAGAGAAGCAGGAACATAAAACTGCAGCCACCCGGTGTGAAGAACTCACCTGTTGACGACCGGACGATCCAAACCGTTTTATGAACAGTTGGAGTGGACCTCCAGCACCACATGCGGTTCCTTTAATGTGGTCAGAGACATTCTGAGGACATCTGTCCTAAACATGAGTGGAGTTAATAATGGACAACTTACTGTGTCCTGGCTTATGGCTGGACAGAACGGGACAATCTAGGGGGCAGAGGGTTTGATTTTTTGCTTTGACGTCAAGCTGGAGCAGAGATGAACTTTGAACAAAGAGGTCACCTTGACCTTGAACTCATCAGGATAATCTTTGACCCTCACGGGGTCCAGCTGTGCAGATTGACACTCCTAAGGGTTAATAATAATCTAGAGCTTGGACAAGAAAGTGTCAACAGACGGGCGGCGCTGTGACATGATGTGTCCCATCTAATATATATATATATATAAATATATACAGTATATACAGTATATATATGCACAGTATATATATATATATATATATATATATATATATATACTGTGCATATATATTTTTTGTTGTTTTACTAATATTTTGCTGAAATAAAGTATGCTGAAGGATTACATATAGAGATTAAAATAGGGAAACAAATATGAATGACACAAAAATTGCAGGTTTGAAGCAACAAAACAGAAAACTGTGAAGAGAATATTCACTGAATTTAAATCTACAGTAAGACTTTATAACATTTATACTAACTGAGGAAAAACAACAAAACTCAAGATAATCAGTAAATCCACCTGGAATCACTTTATTGTTTTTTTTTAACGTCACTATTTTCACCATCATCGTCGTCATAATCCGTATTTTCCAGATGATGTTTTCAGTTTGCGTTACTACCACTTGAATCGTGGAAATCCGTTTAAATCATTGCACTTTTTTTTGTCCTCAGAATGTACACGGGAGCGTTTATCTGAACCATGGATGTTTTTTTTGTTGTTTTGTTTTGTTTTGTTTTTACTTTGAAAACGAGTTCAAATGAAGAATCAACCGAACGTTTACATACATTTATCCAATACGTAGCTGAAGAAAATAAATATAAGTTATCGTAAAAAATAAGAAAATACAACTGAAAAAAATACACACGATTTACAAATTGACCCCCCTCCCTCCCCCCACCCCGTAGGTTTATCATACAGATAAATATTTTTTGAACGACACCTCATATCATCGTCAGCATCACTACCAAAAAAAGTTTTTTTAGCTCCTTGTCGTTATTTGACATGCATCGTAAACACAGAGGCTAAAGGTTTTGTTTTCTGCCCCCCCCCCCCTCCCCCCTCTCTGTAATCCCCCCCCCCCCCCCCAGACGCAATGAGCTCTTGGTTTCTGTTATGGCTTGTGTGCAGAAAAATGACCGCCCTCCAACCATCTTTTTGTTGTAGTTTTAGCTTCTTCCTCCTCTGAGCTGCTGTTTGGTCTCTGCCCTCGTCAGGACGAGCCCAAAAAATAATTAACGTCAGAAACGGCCTTTAGAGAAGTTTTAAACGTCCCCATCTGCTTAAAAATAAGGTACCACGTTCTAAATCAGCCTTTTCTTTTACCGAATGTAACGTTTGGACTCATTTACATGATTTGTTGCCTCTTTGGCTTTTAAAGTTGTACAAATTAGCTTTTTTTTCCATCTTTTTTAATGATGTGCCACGTCGATTGTTTCTGTTTAGTTACATTTGTGAATATAAAAAATAGATTATTGTACTTTGAGATCATTTCATGACAAAAACACAAACAATTTGTTGCTTTTTTTAAGCTTTTTTCATGAACTCAGACGTGAAAATGGTTGTTATAATAAGAGAAATGTGTTTTTATTTGTTTTCCCACAGAGCTATCCCTAAATCTCATCAGGACCTGCAAATACTGAAGAGTTAAAAATCTAAAAAATAAATTTAAATACTCTTAATTTATGTCCCTTAAACCAACAGCTTTTTAGTTCCTCTTTGGTTTAAAATAGAAATTATTGTTTAATTGAACATTTAAATAGGAAAGATAATTTTGTGTAGTTTCTATTATTCTTATGTGCACGCTGCACTTTTTATATATTTTTCAGGATTTAATTAGCTTCAGATAATTTTATATTTAATTCATTTTAAAAGAAAGGTTAAAGTTTTTATTTTTAGCTGAACAGCTTTAAAATATTGATAATTGTAGCTTTTGTGTGTTTTTGCGTCACTAAACAAATTTTATTTGGCAAAAAATGGAGGCAAATACTGCTTTTAATTTTAAAATTTTGTGACTCTTGTCATATATTTGTCATATATAGATCCAACTGTGGGTCAGGAGACACCAAATGAGGGTCCTCAGACAATCTTCATTAATGAAATTAAGCATAAAAGTTGCATATTTTTACCATTCTCCTTACAAAAAATAAATGCAATAATCAAACATAACACTAAAAACAGAATTGTAAAGGCTAGTTGTGTTTTAATTTGTCATTAGAGTTTCTAACTGGTGGTTTTTGGGGTCTTCAGCTCCTGCTGTGGTTATTCTGGAGGACAGATACGGTGAAATTCTGCTAAAAGAAAACTTGTAATCAGCCGCTTCTGACAAAGTGGAACCCTTAACGGATCTTAACGGATGAAGTGACTAAACACAAAGCATCTGCGGCGTCACCCCCTCCCCCCGCCCCCACGTCCCGTCCAGCTCCGACTCCTTGATGTCTACAACGGAGTCCCTTCTAAAGAGATTCCTCTCAACTTTCAAGATGCCAAAAGACAAAGGACGTCTGATGTGGTCGCAGCTAAATGGTGGTCTGGATTCGGACGTGTTTTATGACACCTCCTGATCCCGGTGGGGACAGGACACCCCCGACAATAGAGTCCGCGATGGCTGACACTAGACACCAGCGGAAAGAAGAAGACCAGTGTTGGTCCTGACACGTCTATCAATCCCTCAGAGTCACTTTGCAACTTTAACACCCGGTGAATCCAAACCCAACAATGAGGTTAACTTCTGCCTTTGTCAAGACGCACGTATTGTCGAGCAGAGCGTTGTAAGATGACACGTTCGCTTGTTTCAAGCTGCGAAACGATGAATGGCGGTCGGGGTTTTCCTCTGAAAGTGTGAAAAGGAGCCGTGATGTTGCCAAACTGCTGACTGAGGGCGGACCCCGACAGAAACCCCGCGCCGACATCGTCCTTTAGTCGCCACAGACGGGCTCAGAGAGGAAACAGCACTCAGCTCGTCTTAAATACACGGATACATTCTTCACGTCATTCTCCCCTTCATCCCTTTGCTACTGTTATTGCAGAATGGTCAAACGGACACTTTTAAAGTTTAGTATTGTACTCATTGCTTCTTTCTTCACCGACGAGCGAGAGGGTCCTCGAGTCCAGTCAGCGCCCTGAGAAGAAAGACAAAGACTCAGACTTCTGGGGATCTACAAGCCCAACTCTTAAAAACTTTAGACTTTGTGTAAAAATAATGATAAATGAGTAATGTTGAATTTTACAGCAGCATCACAAACTACAAATTTGAGACTGGGGCTGTAATTCAATTCAATTCAATTGAAAAATACTTTATTAATCCCAGAGGGAAATTGAGTGTTGTCGTAGCTCATCATCCTGGTTTCATTCAAGAGTTGTTAGATGCTGATAGCTGTGGGCAGGAAGGATCTCCTGCAGCGAATCCAAAGAATTTGGTCACAGATCCGTCCACCCAGATCCAGTTTGCTGTCAGATCCGTCCACCCAGATCCAGTTTGCTGTCAGATCCGTCCACCCAGATCCAGTTTGCTGTCAGATCCGGCGGGCCTCTCAGTCCTCCTGGGCAGCAGGACTGCCCTAATGCCGGGCAGAATTCCTCCCTGAGCGATGGTCACTCCTCCCAGCAGTCTGCCGAGCTCCTCATCCCCACGGACAGACAGCTGAAGGTGCTGGGGGATGACCCCGGTCCTCCCATTGTCACAAACCGAATTTCCCACCAGCTCCAGGATCTTGGCAGTCAGGTACTCAAGCACCGCCGCTAGGTTGACAGGAATTCATCCACGGTGCCTCCTTTTCAACTCATTTGGGACTTGGGGCTGTAGATGAGGTATCTGAGCTTTTGAGATGTTAATCAGCTGCTCCTGGTTGTTAAAAAAACACACCTTGTTGCCATGGTTACGCATCATAACAAATGCCCAAAAGTAAAAAGGTCTCAGTAACAATCCTTCCAGCTTCACATCATCCGATACCAGAGGAAAAAATCATCTGAAAAAAAGTGATTTACATTCAGAAAAAAGAGGAATTAAAAATGTTCAAAATCAATAACTCAGAATGAAAGTAGAGCTGCTCCAACATGCAGCCACCCCGAGCGGCGCCTTTCTAGAATTGAATTAAAAGTAAGGGGTGCCGATAAGAAACAACTGGAGGAGCCGTTTGCAAGTTTTATCAGCGCTCAGATCAAAAACGTGTCTCTCTGATGGTATGGGGGTGCATTAGTGCCTCTTGCATGGGCAGCTGGCACATTTGGAAAGGCGCCATCAGTGCAGAAAGCTTTAGAACATCATATGTTCCTAATCAGCAAAAAAAAAAAAACAGAACTGTTGAATCCTCCATCAGACCAGAACGGGACAACGTCCCCCTCAAAAAACTCCAAGAACTGGTCTCCTCAGTTCTTAGACGTTCACAGACAGAACCATGGACCTGGAACAACTTTGAAGAGACGTGTTGCTGCCATCAAATTCAACATTACCAGCTTCTTAGTTTCAACATTCCACTGAGACTAAAACCTGCGTGCATGAGTTTTGAAGTCGCCGCATTCTGTTTTTATTTACGTTTTACAAAATGTCCCAACTTTTTCCAAATCAAGTTTGTACTAAAACGCCCCGTCCGGGCTCCAACCGGTCCGCTCACTTCAACAAACGGATAAAAACCATGTGGAGGCCATGAGCCCACACACGGGTGCAACCCTGTTAGGCAGTTTAATGGACGGCTTCTCACCTCCGCCGCTCAACAGGAGTACGTCCTCACGGAGGCAGATTCACCGCGGGCACCAGCGCTGGCTGCTTGGGGAGACACACATGGTTATTATCCTAACTGCGCTGACCTTTCTGGAGGTATTAAACAAGTGGAACGAGGGATTAGAGCATTCCTCTGCCTTTTAAAGGGTCTGCATCTTGTTATTGTCAGGCACTTAAAAAAAACAGAGTCCTCTGGAGAACTAATGGCATGAAAGCTTTAACGTTTCAGCACAAACTGTGGCCTGAAGCTGCAGCTGTTCTAATATCAACACCTCAAAGGTAAAAGAGTTGAGAGGTGCTCACCATCACTCTGAACCTTTCTCAGAGTAACGGAGGGTGTGGAGATGGCTGAGGCACGAAAGTTGGCGGGCAGCGTCTCGGCGGAGTCAGAGGTCACGCCCCGAAGGTCTTTCTCCCGAAACATCTTCCTCCAGGAGGGTGAGCGGGTGAAGGTCTTCGTTCCATCCTGCCAACATGACAGCAAAGCCATCAGCCAGAAACCAGCTGCGTGTGCAAACCTGCGAGCTTCAGTCCAGACGATCACTGACCTCATCGGGTCGTCTTTCAGTTCCCATGGAGATGAGGGAGTTGTACTCCTGCTCCAGGAGCTGCCGGGCCTGCAGGGCGGAGGAGAGGGACAGCTTCCTGGATTAGTTTGGACTCGGCACAAGATTTAACCGAATACTTTAATAACTCAGTGGTGGTTAAAGTGGATTCAGGACTCCGCTGTGAGTCGTAAGACATCAGGTCTGAAGATCAACTGAACACATCAGAGTGAATATAAAACTGTTTTATGTTATTGCATCGTAATTTCTCTGTTGTCAATAAATCCTCGTTTTTGACTGTTGTCATTTGGATTTTCTGAATGTGAAGACACATTTCAGATTTTTACTTTTAAAAAGTGTTTAAAACTGCTACTTTGTGTTGGTCTGTCACACAAAATCCCACAAAAACACGCTGAAGTTTGAGGTTTCTGAATAAAAAAATAAAAACAGTTTGGTGTGTATTGGCTGAATTCTGCCTGAAATTAAGATTTTTATTTTCTTTAAGCACTTTATACAGATAAACATTTATGTGTGTCATCCATCCATCCATCCATCCATCCATCCATGCATCATCTTCCTCTTGTTCTGAAGTCAGGTCTCGGGGCAGCAGCTTGAGGAGGTCCAGACATCTCTTTCCACAGACACCTCTTCCAGCTCTTCTGGGAGAACTCCAAGGTGTTCCCAAGCCAACCGAGAGATGTAGTCTCTCCAGCATGTCCTGGGTCTTCTTCTGGGTCTCCTCCCAGTCTGACATGCCTGAAGAACCTCTCTAGGGAGGCGACCAGGAAGCATCTTTACCAAATGCCCGAACTGCCTTAACTGGCTCCTCTCGATATGGAGGAGCAGCGGTTCTACTCCTGAGTCTCTCCTGATAACTGAACTTCTCACCCTCTCTCTAAGGAAGAGTCCAGCTACCCTGCAGAGGAAACTCATTTCAACCTCCTGTATCCACGATCTCATTCTTTCAGTCACTACCCAGAGTTCATGACCATAGTTGAGGGGAGGAACATAGACTGACAGAGAGCTTTGCCTTACAGCTCAGCTCCCTCTTCACCAAAACAGACCGGCACAGAGTCCACAATACCGCAGACGCTGCACCAATCCGTCAGTCAATCTCACGCTCCATTCTTCCCTCACTCGTGAACAAAACCCCGAGGTACTTGAACTCCTCCACTTGAGGCAGAACCTCACCCTCGACCTGACGAGAACAATTTTTAGCAACGTAAATGTAAAAGATGATAGAATTAAATGTCTTTATTAGACTGATTTGGTATTTTAGGCGGCACGGTGGTTCAGTTGGTAGAGCAGATGACTCAGCGAGAAGGTCGCCGGTTCCAATCCCAGCCCAGGACCTTTCTGGGTGGAGTTTGCATGTTGTCTCTGTGCATGCATGGGTTTTTTCCAGGTACTCCGGTTTCCTCCCACAGACCAAAAACGTATGTTAGGCTGATTGGTAACTCTAAATTGTCCCTAGGTGAGAGAGAGAGTGAATGGTTGTTTGTCTCTTCGTGTCCCAGTGACAGACTGGAGACCTGTCCAGGGTGTCCCCCACCTCTTGCATAGTGACTGCTGGATATGGGCACCAGTGACCCCCCACAACCAAAAAAGGAAGAAGCAGGTAAAAGATAATGGATGGATTTGTTTTTTGTACATCACTTTAATAAAATGTGGCAGGATGCACTTTTTTTGTTTGTATATTTTACTGCGAGGAATAAATGACGTTTACAGAGTTTAACAGAAAAAAAAGTCTCCATCTTTGCAGAAACATCTCAGTCCGTGTTCTAATAAATCTGTCAAAGATCCATCTTTATGATTGATCTCAGATTTAGTAACAAAAGGCTCTAAAAACCGGTTTAAAGGAAACGTTTTTAAGCGTAAACGTGTCGTTTAGTGGTGATCTGCGCGTGCAGCCGTGCTTTTGGTACCTGCGTGTTCTGGTTGGGGATCTGCAGCAGCAGAGCCAGGTCGGTGTAGTCGAAGGTGTCGTCCAGCGCCAGCAGAGCGCCGTGCACGCCGCTCTCACGGAGGTTGTCGGCGTACTCCTTCAGACCGATGCACTGGACCCAGCACATCACGCGATCGTTGGACCACACCATCACGTCTGGAAAAGACAAAGCAAGATGGAGGTGAAAAAAAGGAATCGATCCACCGCCGACTCCTGATGTTGGTTGTTTTTATTTCAGGGTCACTTCCTGGAGCTCAAGCTGAATAAATCAAGTTTCTTAAGTCTGTCCTGAACATGAAGCTAAATATTAATGATCACTGCAGATTCTGTACTTCCACGTCAAACGATGAAACAAATTGCTTCAATCTGTGTAATCCTCACGGTGGAGATGAAGTCAGCGCTGATGAACTGTGATGTGACGATTAATATTCATGTGGAAAAACACAAAGGTCTGTAAATAATCCGTACGTTACGGTTTGTCTGCAGGAGGGTCCCGCAGCAGCAGCAGGAAAAATTTAACTAAAAACTTGTGAGAAAATGCAGAGTGAATACTGAGAGCTGAACGACTGCTGAAGTTTGTTGAAGAAGCTGAAACTGAGCTGTTAAAAACAACCAGAATAACACATGACCAGAACACAAGCTAGAACAAGCAGAATAATAGCTATAAGCAAAGAAGGAGCAAAATAGTAGCTAAACGCTAAACCAAGTATAACAGTAGCTATAAGCTAAATCAAGAAGAACAGTAGCTATAAGCTAAATCAAGCAGAACAGTAGCTATAAGCTAAACTGAACAGAACAGTAGCTATAAGCTAAATCAAGCAGAACAGTAGCTATAAGCTAAACTGAACAGAACAGTAGCTTAAGCTAAACTGAACAGAACAGTAGCTATAAGCTAAACTGAACAGAACAGTAGCTATAAGCTAAATCAAGCAGAAAAGTAGCTTTAAGCTAAATCAAGCAGAACAGTAGCTTAAGCTAAACTGAACAGAACAGTAGCTATAAGCTAAATCAACAGAACAGTAGCTTAAGCTAAACTGAACAGAACAGTAGCCATAAGCTAAATCAAGCAGAACAGTAGCTTAAGCTAAAATGGGCAGAGTAGTATTTATAAACTAAATCAAGCAGAACTGTAGCTAAAATTAAAAGCCACAGGAAAAAAGCAATACAGTAGCTACAAGCTAAAATGAGCAAAACAGAAGCTAAAAAATAAAATAAGTAAAACAGTAGCCAGGAAATAACACAAACAAAATGGTATCTAAACACTAAAATTAAAGCTGTGGCTAAACATTAGCTAAACTGTGGCAAAAAATTTAAATAAGCAAAGCTTCAGCTTAATGCAGAAACTAGGAAAACTGTAGCTAAAAGCTTTAATGCGCAAAGCCATAGCTAAAAGATAAAATTAGCAGCAAAAAGTGTAACCCAGCAGAACAGTAGCTAAATGCTAAAACAACCAAAATTGTACATATGTTTTAAAATTAGCAAAAACATACATACAAGTTAAAATTAGCTGAATCTTAGCTGAAAGCCAATATTAAGAAAACAAGCGCCAAAAGCTAAAATCAACAAAACCATAGCTGAAATCTCAAATTAGCAGCACTGTAGCAAAATGCCTAACAGTAGCTAAAAGCTAAGACCAGCAAAACAGTAACTAAATGCTACAACAAGCAAAACTGTAATACTCAAAACTAGCAAAAAATGTTCAGTTTAAATTAGCAAAACCTTAGCTCTAAGCTAAAATTAGACACACCATAGCTAAAAGCTAAAATCAGCTAAACCATGGCTAAAAGCCAAAAACAGAGTCAGTACCCTAAAACAGATTTTAAAGAGAGCAACATTTGAAGGAATTGAAGAGATTTGAACTTGTTTCTACGGGGAAAACATTGTAAATAAAGTTGAATGTATTTTATGAAAGTATAAATGTGACAAATCCCAGAAGTCGCCATGCACTTTTCCCCACTGAGCCGAATGTTTTATCTGAATGGTCAAAAAAAGCAGAACGTATTCAGAAGTAGTTTGATTGCAAAAACTGAAAGGAAGAAACTGCAAACAAGAAAACAGAATAATATATTTGCAGATTGATGTCAAACGGAGGTCACCTTTGTTCAGATGTGCGCTCTCCTCTCGCCTCCTCTCCAGCTCCTTACGGTCATAATTCAGGCGCTTCAGGCACATGATGCCGTAATGCAAACTGACCCTGCAGGAGGTCAAAAGAGCAACAGGTTAAACAGAGCTGTGCTTCTCCTCTCAGATAGTCAGAGGAACATCTCTGGAGCACTTCAGGCTTTCAGCAGATAAGAGCTGGAGACACGTCCTGAGCTGTCGGTGTCACCGCCAACACGAACAGAAACTGAGTCAGCAGTCGGGAAATTTTAAAACATGGCTGACAAAGAGCTGAGGTCATAAAACCTTCAGTAAATGATATTCTGCTTCCAAGCAGACCACTTCAAGTGGTCTTGACTCTCCTCATTTTTTAGGTGACGCTCTTTCTTCTGTCCTCTATGACAGGATGTCGAACTGAATGAAAAAGCAGCCAAAGTAAAAAAAAAAAATACAAATTTGGAAGACTTTCATCAAGTCTGGAGAACTATTGATTAAGAACCACTTTAAAATACTTCAAGTCTGGCTGCTTGGAAGCAAAGTTTTCAATTGCTGCAGAAAACTGACCTGTGAAAGCTGTCCACCATCTTGAGCTGCCCTCTCAACTCCTTCTTGGTCAGGTGGTCCAGCATGCGGGCGTCTACCAGGGACTCCATGAAGTAGCTGCGGTACTGTGGAAGGCCCAGGCTGGGCAGCCAGTCGTTGCCCACCCACTCATGATTCATATCGCCGTAGGCCAGTATCTGGAGGGGACGAGCACAGACGATCAGACACTGATTCACGCTTGGCTTCATATCTGCTGTCTGAGAGCTCAGGATGATAAAATCTTAAAACGAGACACATGCAGAATGTTGCGCTAGTTTTTTGTAGAAGAGCTTAATCTTACCTGATCCCAGCTGAACTCTTTCAGCTCCTGGAACGCCGAGAGAAAAGACGAGGCAGAAGGCGGGAGAGGGTGAGGTGGTGGAGGAGAGGGAAGCAAGGGTGAAGAGCGGGGTGGATGGATGAGGAGAAGCAAAGGAGGGAGACGTCACAGCAGCAGCAGCAGCAGGAAAAGAGGACAAAAGTGAGGAACAGTGTGTTAGTGAACGGGTAATTAGTTGGAAGCAGTTCACAGTGAAACCACAGGGAGAAACAAAGATGCTCGACACTAAGGCCTGGTCCCACAGCAAAGACACAGACGGACAGAAAAATAAATACAGAGGAAGAAGAGGAGGAGGGGGGAGAGACTCATCAACGTGATTCAGACCCGACGAGACGTTTTTCAAAACTGACTGAAATAATCCTGAATAGGAAATCAGACGAGCGGAGGACTAACCGGAGGCTTGGTGGCAGCGTTCAGGGACTCCATCTCTGCGTGGGTCATCCACACGTTACTGGTCGACTGAAAAGACGAAAAACACAAAAATAATCTGCGAGATTCAAGAAAACCTGCCTTAAACATCAGTTTGATGCTTGTGGTTTTTCCTGTGCCAAAACAATCACGAGTCATCAACCAACGTCAACAACTAACAATTAGCTGTTTCTTCATTGCCAACAAAAATAAGGATTCTGTGAACTAATAATTAAATCAAATGGAGCTGTCAAGGATGATTTTCTCGATTCATCCTTTTCCACTTTCCATGTGAACATAAATAAATAAAAGCCAAGATGAACTATATTCTGGCTTCTTTAGGTACAAACTCTTCATATGTTCAAGAAAAAACTGCAGCAAAATGTTAGCTAAAAATTAAAAGGAGCAAAAACACAACTTATAGCTATTGTAGCAAAAGGCTTGATAGAAACACATCCCACCTGTGTCAAAAAGCTGGCTAAAAGCTAAAAGTAGGCAAAAAAAGCAATGGTCAGCTAAAAAAAGTAGAAGACTGGCTAAAAGCTCAAAGGAGCAACACACTAATTGAAAGTAAAAAGTAGCAAAAACCCTAGCTAAAAGCTAAGTCAGAAAAATGCAAGTTAAAAGTAGCAAAATGCTAGTATCAAACCAAATATAGCAAAACATAAGCTTAAAGGTAAAAGAATGAAAATGCTAGCTAAAAGTGACAAAAAAATTGTTGAAAGTCAAAAGGAGCAAAAGGCTAGCTTATAGCTATAGTAGCAAAAGGCTTGCTAAAAGCTTAAGGTGTCAAAAAGCTGGCTAAAAGCTAAAAGTAGGCAAAAAAAAAGCAATGGTCAGCTAAAAATGGTAAAAGACTAGCTAAAAGCTCAAAGGAGCAACACACTAATTAAAAGTAAAAAGTAGCAAAACCCTAGCTAAAAGCCAAAGTTAGAAAAATGCAAGTTAAAAGTAGCAAATTGTTAGTATCAAACCAAATATAACAAAACATTAGCTTAAAGGTAAAAGAATAAAAATACCAGCTAAAAGTGACAAAATATTAGGTGAAAGTCAAAAGGAGCAAAAAAATTAGCTTATAGCTATAGTTGCAAAAGTTTTGCTAGAAGCTTAAGGTGTCAAAACGTTGGCTAAAAGGTAAAAGTAGCCAAAAAAAAAAGCAATGGCCAACTAAAAGAAGGAGAAGACTAGCTAAAAGCTCAAAGGAGCAACACACTAGTTAGTAAACAGTAGCAAAACCCTAGCTAAAAGCTAAAGTTAGAAAAACGCAAGCTAAAAGTGGTTAAAAAGTAGTTTAAAGTAGTTTAAGGTAAAAAAAAAAATGCTAGCTAACAGTGGTAAAATATTAGTTGAAAGTCAAAAGTATCAAAAGGCTAGCTTATAGCTATTGTAGCAAAAGGCTTGCTAGAAGTTTAAAGAAAACAAAGTTTAGCTGAAAGTAGCAAAATGGTAATTAAAAACTATAAGTAGTATAAGCAGACAAAAACAGAGAGAGCGTGCTAACACTGCTGCGTCAAGCCAAGTTGTTTCACAACAGGGTGCTTTTATCAACATACCCACCAACCCCACTGCAGAAAAATAAAAATATCTCATAGCGTCCCAGCCTCGAATTATGCCATTTTAGATTATTCTTAAAGGATGAAAAAGTGGAAACTTTTGTCAATATAAAGATCCAGTGCTAGCAGAATTAGTAGCAGCACATGTCTCTGTACCCAAAGCCTTTTTTTCATTAGACAGGCTTTTGGCTGCGCAGTTCAAGATGAGTCAAGATGAGAAATCTTCATTTCTCTCCAACCACGTGGATGCAGCCTTTTTAGAGCAAAAAGATGAAAAAGGGAGCGATCCTGACTCAGAAAGTGTCGGATCAGATTAATGCTCGTCAAGACGCTTTAACTGCTTTTGAACAGTTTGTTGTTGCGCTCTTTAAATTAGCCCTACATTCGTAAAAGACGACATAAACGCATTCGGAGAAGCATTATCTGCTGCAAGTTGGCCTCGTGTCAGGAGGGGTGTAGGGGGATGAAACCAGAGGGAGAAAGGCTGAATAATTACAGATGAATTTGAAGTTATTCCTAATCTGTAAAGACGTTCTGAAGGTAGGATTTACTTGAGCTGAAAGTTTTACTGAACTGAACTAGAAGAACTTTAGTCAATGAAAAAAAGCCATTTCAGAGGAACGCTACGAGCTTATAGGCCACAGAACAAGTTTTCATGGTTGCTCTGGTTGTTTTACCGCTGACTGTACCTTTCTGTGGGCACTGTATCATGAAAAACTGAGTTAATCGTAAAGATATCTGAACTTTCCTACATTGCATTTGCATGCGTCTTCTTATATGCACCATTCTTGTAAACAGAAAAGCTGTGTGGAAAACAACTGGCGAGCCATCAACACTTAACAGTGAGGAAGGAAAAAGCTGCAGATATATGTAATCAAAATCTTTTTGTTTTTATTCCTTCTCTCATATTGCATTTAATATATTCTGGAGCTTATCACAATATTTGCAAAGATCTGTGACTCGGGTGAATGTGAACTGTGACTTAACAGAAGCATCGGCAGATCTGTTGATGTCCTGCAGAATGGGCCGCTAACAGCTGAAAGTGTGGCGTAGCCGCGTAGGCTACGTTTATTTGTATGTAGAAGCAGAAAACTGAGCACGGGGAGACGACCGACAAAACAAACGGGACAAATGTTAACAATATGAGCAGTATCTGCATCCGTGACACACGATTAAACGTACTGCGGTACTTGTTTTTTAAGCCTGGCGTTCTGTAGCTTGAACTGATATTTGTTGTTCAGGCTAAATGAAAGAGAGGTGCAGTCAAAGGGTCTCACAGAGCGAGTGCTGGCTGGGGCAGACGGGCTGGTGAGGGACACCATCTCCTGGATGGCCAGCCGCAGTTTGAGGCGGTGGAGGGGGTTGCTGATGCCAATCTCCCTCTGGATCTCTGTGTCGGACAGGTTTGCCATGATCGCGCCGCTTTTCACGTTGGCGCGACACGCTGCGACGTACCAAGCGGGCATTCCTACCCACAACTGGAAGGGAACAAGACGAAATGCAGAAATGGTTTTCGCCATGAAAATGTTTATATCCACTGATTTGTTTCTTTGTCTGTATCGCCTACCTCCAACCAAGACACAACAGTGGGGCCGTCCCATGATGCAAACGGAAGTCCTTGGCGACAAGCTTCTTCAAGAAGCTCGTGTCTGACAAGAGGAGAAACTGTTGAGGATGTGGTAAAAATTGAAGACACGGCGTGGACAACACGTAAAAGTAATTCACTGACTTCTTTTTGCTGCGACGATCTTTATCTGCTGGGCCGAGAGTTCCCGTCTTGTTTATCCCCATTGCGTCTCCAGAGCTGAGGTCTTCAGAGGGCGTAGATGCTGAGAAACACATAAAGGTCACACAACTAAATCTAAAGCTAATGTAGCCTAAGCACCGTCTATTTACCAAGAGAAGCAGATCCATCACGCCCGGGTTGGCCCAGCCTTCCTTTCTCCTTCTTCCCAAACAGCCGACCAATGGACGACTTGATGCTTTTCTTCTTGCTGGACTTGTGTAGAGAATCTTGGCTGCTGTTGGAGCTGCTGCCGTCCGCAGAAAGACTAGAACATTCAAAATAAAATAAAAAATTAAAAAAAAGATTAAAAAGCACAGACTTCTATTATATTTGCTGGGCGTGTGACGTGCTCACCTGCGAAACTCCCGGGGGTCGTCGAGCATCGCTCCCGGATGGGTGAGAGCCATTCGGTCCAATCGCAGCGCACGAGGAGTCGGAGGAGGCGTAGAGTCGAGCAGAGCGAGGGATCGGTCATCCTCCTTGTTGTTCTAGAATGTGAAATGCAAACAATATTATTATTCCTGCTACCGTTTTTAATCTTCATCCTCTCAGTCCCAGATTAACATATTCACGTTTGTTTTAGCTGCACCTCTTCTTGTAATCCATCTGTTTGTTCCTGAAGTACTAAAACATTCACACTTCTCCACAAGTTGCCCAAATGTATCTTTCCCAATCTAACAGCTAAACCTGTCCGTGTCTGTCTAAATGATTTAATTCTGCGGTTTGTTCCACATGACTCACTCTCTGGAGGAGCTGTTAGCGTAAACAGGGAGGTCGAATCCAAACGTGAGGTAAAAAGAACGAACAAAAACTGGAACAGGAGCTCGTCTCTACATCCCAGCAGTACCTGTCTATCAGTTTCACGGGCCGGCGAGTGAGGCAAACGAGGGGTAGAGTGTCCAGAGCTGGGGGGAGATGGGGAGGCCAGGGTGGAGGAGGTGATGGACGATGGGATGAATCCCCGTCCTGTGCTATCTCTGCCCAGGGAGGAGGGAGGGATTGGCGGGCTGTCTAACGCCACGCTGACCCGACTCTCAATCTCTTCAGCCCGCAACTCTGTGTTCTCCTTCTCCTCCTGGATTAGCCTGGTTTTTATAACAGATGGGGAGAAAATAGTGAACGATCAAATCATATAACACGAAACAATCCGTTGATACCAGCCTCATGTACATATTTAGCCACAGTTAGCATAGCTTGAAGCACAGAAACTGAGAGAAACAACTCATCTGTTCCTGCCTAAAATTGATCATTATTTACCACTGAACAAATTAAGAGCCTTTTAACTTATTTGTTATATTTTGTGTGTTAAATTTGAACAAAAGGGTAATTTTTCTCTTATTTCAGTGAGGAAATGAATAGCAGTTTTCCTCATGGTTTCTGCTGAGCTAGGCTAACTAGCTCGTTTTTAAACCAAACAGGGAGAAAAATAATGAGTAAGTGAATATTATGAAACGATTAAACAACCGAGAGGGGATTTAAAATTTGGGTACTGCTAATTAATTTAAGAAGGAAACTGATACTTTGCAAGTCTCTATGTAGCCACTGTTAGCATAGTAGCTTGGCTTCATCTAGCATGACGCACCTTGAAGCTGTTTTTTTTTTTTTTGTTGTTTTCTTATTTATTCAGGTAAAAATTGACTAGCAGTTTTTCTTGCATTTCTTGTTAGCTAAGCTAGTTAGCCTAGCTGCTGGTACTCAAACTTTCTTACAGTGTAACTCTTAAATTGATCTTAAATTAACAACATTCAGACACTTTTTTGTATTTTCTTTTTCAATCCTTTCTTAGTTTACACTTTGAATGATTATAAGTCAAAGAAAAGCAACATATCTAATCTTTTTTTTTAATTAATTTTATCCCAGTAGCTAAATAATTGTTTTGTTGTCCATTAAACGGATACAGCAGTGGCAGCGGACGGAGAAGAAAAGTCTTCCTTCCTCTTTTTGAAAATGTAAAATGTAATAGAAATACCATTTGGAAGCGCAATGGGAAACTATTAGGTATAAAATGAAAATGCCTGTAACAAAAAAGTCCAACCCTAGAGAAATGTGTGCCTCAAAACTGACAATCTAAACATCTTGTACATAAAGATGTAAGTTTTTCTTCTCCCACTGAGGTTTCTCCTGAGGCAGTGTGTTGATATATTTATTTTCATAGCAGGTGATGGTGAGTATCAGGCTGCTGAATGTAGGGAGGTGTTTCTCACATTCTTGCCTCCCTCCGTCTTACATACTTGATCTCCTTGTTGATGGCCTCCAGCTGTTCCTGCAGCATGATGGCCAGTGTCTGCACGTCCGTCTGTCCGCTGGGGGAAAGGAGCTCGGAACTAAAGCGAGGCTCCCCGTCGTCCTCGTCATCGGAGCAGCCCACGTCCATGCCCTGCTCGTACCCGGTCGCCAACAGAGCCCCGCTCTCCCAGTCTGGGTACTGCACACAGAGCGCAATGCTGAAGACAAATGTTTGTTTCAAAGACTGCACAACGTTTCAGATTCCATCATTCAAACATGAACTCTCTGTTTGGTGCCATGACAGTGCTGGAATGCAACACACCAGGTTTACTCTCACACTGAAACAGTTTATTTAGTTACATGTGCACTGCTTAATACTGTTTCTTGGCATGTTTCTCTCCACTTTATTTCATTCTACTTGACTGTACTCCATTCTACTCTACTCTGTTTTACTGTACTCACTCTACTCAACTTTACCGTACTCTACTCTATTTTACTCTACTGTACTTCACTCCATTCTTCTCTACTCCATTCTACTGTACTATACTCTACCTCACTCTACTCTATTTTACTCTA